GTGTTTGAATGAGACATAACCCCTGCCCTCAGGGAGCTTATAGTCTAGCAGCCAGAATTTCTGCAACCATTGTGACAAGGGAGACACAGCTATTAATTCTGTTCAAAATTAATTTCTTGGAGTACCAATCAATTCTAGTGTAAGAGAAAGGAAGGCTGCACAGCACTGATAATGTCCCATGCCTCCAAATAAAATGAGAATTGTATTTTAAAAACTCGTAACTTTGTGGCATCTCAAGAACACAGAAGCAGCATAAAGAGAGGTGAGCCAGAATTCTTTCGTGCAGCTTAAAATCTCTTATAGGAAGACTCCAAACCAACATGGTATTTTGGTGCATTGGGGAGGTTGAATTCAATAGAAGGCATGTTCCCTCAAAGCATCTCATAATTCAAAGTTGGTACATTTCCATCCTGCCCGTGGATAGAGAGTTTGGGGGAGGAGGGGTGTGAGTGCTGTTTACCAGCTGGAGTGGCACTGCCATGGACAATAATAGAAACCCTATTTACAATGTGCCCTACTGCTGGTTTGAAATGATAGGATTCTTGGCTCAGTTTTCGGTTTAGTATGGGGGTCCTCCAGGTCCTTCACCCTGCTCCCCGCAGGGAGTCAATCTATATATACAACATCAACAAGTCTCCTTGCCTTCTGGCTTCCAACCAGGTTCTCTCAATAGGCAGCACCTGCAAGAAATCAGGGAGGTGGAGGAGAGAGGTTAGGATATCGATTCCTAGGGCTCCCACTCTGCTGGGCCACCACTGGTCAGCTGTGTCCCTCTCCTGAAGGCCCAATTTGCTGTCCGGTGGCTCTCCCCATACAGCTGTCCTCCCGAGGGTTCGAGAACCGTTCACTCCCCTTGTCCCTGTAGGTCTGGAGCAGGGATTGTACTACTCCTGGCAGTTTTCCTACACCCTGCCCACACCTCCTTTCATCTAATTTAAGTGTACCGTCTATTTCCTGCTGGGAACATGACAAATAAGGGGAATTTATATTATTCCAAATGTTGACTCTAAAGGGAGGCTTTATTATTATTTTCATATTACACGATTTCAAATTTGCTTAGCTCAAATTTGCATGAAAAAGTAATAAATTTCCAAAGATCCACAGGCCCATTGGCATCAGGAACAGAGTTGAAAATCAAGGTTTACAGCAACCTGCCTTAGATTTCCCTCTCTAGCTTAAACTATTATCCTTTATGACTTCGGGGACCTTCCTTTTCGGCTTTACTTTTAGCTTAAATAGTAGATGTCGGGTTGTTCAATAACAATTTCTACTGCCTTAGCTTCATTAACTCCTTGGCAAAAGGATAAACAGGATTAACGGGCAGTGCATTAGGGCCATCATCCCTCCGCCTTTCTAGTCATTGGAATTCCATTCCCAGGCAGTGCTAATCTCTGAAACACTCAAAAAGAGGCATGTGACATCTCTTCTTCTTCCACAGCATCAATGCCCAGAGTTTGATTTTTATTTGGCTTGATTTAATAATTTCAGCCCCTCTCATTGGGTCACTGATTCAGTAGTAGACAGTTTGGCTGCCACTGCAGCTCCGCAGAGGCAAAGCAGACAGTTTGGCTGTGGGGCAAATGGGTGTCTGTCACCAAGAGGCGTGCACACCTGCTGATTTACAGATACGACCCATCATTTCAGCATTTCTCACCTCCATCTGGAACTCCCTATTCTTCCATTCACTCTTACCCATTTCCACTTCATCATTTGCAAGGAAACGCATTCTGGAAGCATCGCGGGAAAGGGAAGCCAACAATTTCCTGAGATTCATGTCCAGGGAATATGGATTTAAATGAAAAGGCAGGGATGGACAGTAACCCACCTTTTAGCGGGCAAATGATGAGAGTACTGCCTTTAGAATCAGTTCTGGATTTTAATCCTAGTTCCCCCTCCTACTACTTGTATAACATGGATTAATTGCTTAACCTTTCCAATTCTTACTTTGCTTCTCTGTAAACTGTAGATGTTATTAATACCTACCTCAGTGGCTATGGTGGAAATTAAATGAAATAATGGTAGTAGAGCTCTTAGGCTCCAGTTTGTCCTGAGTTTGTTAATTACATAAATTCTGGCCCTCACTTTATATTTCAAGGTTGCTAACATTGGTGACACTCCCAAAGGGTGGTAGATTTCAGTAATGAATGTATCAAGAGGAATAGAAGCCATTGTTTCATAAGAATATTCCATCTTCCTGGGTTTAGATTAAAAAAAATAAAACAATCCCCCCCACACCACCAAAATGCTCAGTGAAATTATTATCAACCCAGAAGTTAAGAAGATAATTTAAGAGGCCTAATCTTGAAACAGTATATCTGGAAGCAAGTTTGCTCAGAAACTCAAGGAGGAACTGGATTGGTTGTCAAAATATGCTTCTGTCCTATTATCTAAATAGGAGCAAAGAGAATGAAAGACAAATGAAAGCAGATGGGCTGCTTAAGCAGGAGGAAAAGAAATCTTTCCCTAGGAAAACATTTGGGGTTTTAGAGACAAGGTAGATGGATATAAAGGGAATAGAAAGACACAGCCAGATCTAGCTGCTCCCAAAGAAAAGATTAGGAAGAAGAGCCAGCTGGAATGACTCCTTCCCTCCCCACACCTGCTAAGGGATCTCAAGTTTAGGAAAGCATCGAAAGCCATCCTCTTCCAGCTCTAGGAAGAGAGTCCCTAATAAGAGCAACTGAAGAAACCACAGGCAGCAGACTGTGCCCAATCTGCCAGGTAGTTACAGAAATTTTGGACAGATTCGAGAGGGGGAGATCCATCTAAAATACTTAAAAGAATTACTGGGTGGGTTTCTAGTAGAACCATTATTATAAGTGAAGATGCAGATAATACCTGTGATGGGAAAGAACGTGCCCAAGAAATCCATGGAAAGACCCAGTGAAGAGGACACCTTTTAAAAAGAAGCAAAGCAGGACAAAAAATAGATGAGGCGCAGGCTCGGGCTATTGGTCTAATGGAACTATACCTCCTAGATTGGATTATTCCACTCATGGGAGTGAAGATGGAAAACTTCTTTTAGAACAGCGCATGCTGGAAAGATCCAGAAATCTTTTGACCTCTCAGCTCTCAGCATGAGGAACTCCCAAGACTAAATGTAAATGGGCTATAGTAGAAAAAACAATCCTAAAGTTTTAAGTTTTAATTGATTTCCTGGGAGAGAGATATACCTTGAATTGGGTGTGGTTCCTCGGGCTGCCACTGCTATAAATTTCTAAATTTGACAAGAAAGGGGAACATTTCAATATCCAGTCTCTAAGGAAGCAAATGGCATTTCTGTGTGGATTTCACTCCCACCCAGCCATCCCAAGTATGGTGAATTAGTGCCATATGTAACCTCTTTATGGAAGATGCCTCCAAACTGAATTTCAGTGCATAGGTTGTGGATCATGGAAAAGTGCCCTGGATGGACTGGATGGCATGCTGGTAAAAGTGACTGAAAGTTTCTCTATCTGCCCTGTTTCTCACAGTCTCTTCTATGCTCTCCATGACATCAAATATAGAGTTGTGGAGATATCACCTAGCCAGGGATACCTGTGCTGGAAGATGGTAATTTCAATATGTGCCTCTAGAAAATGGCCATTTCTCTAGAAGAAAGTAAGTGGTAAATGTTGGTGTTCTAAAAACTCCTTAGACTTACTAAACTAAGAGACTTTGGGATGGATGAATTCACTTCAGAGACACCAAAGGAACAACACTTGAAGGAACCGTACCTACACACAGCCCTGAAAATCCTTCCAGCCCAGCCTGAGCCAAGTGTGCCTGAGCAGCGCAGCTCCAGCCATCATACTGAAAAGGCCCCAGCAAACTTACAAAGCACATTTTGTCTCAGTGCCTTCCTGCTTTCCAGCTCCCCTCCCCAGTCTCTGTTCCCAGCCACTTTCTTCTGGCCCCTGGCTCCCTATGGCTCCCCCACTGCAGTGCCCCTCCCTTGTTCCTTCCCTCTGTCTTTCCCTCCCTCCATGCCAACTGGCCTTCTAGATCTGTGCTGTCCAATATGGTAGCCACATGTGGCTATTGGACACTTGAAATGTAGCTCCTCTGAATTGAGATTTGCTATCAGATTAGAATACACACTGGATTTTGAAGACTAAGCATGAAAAAAATGTAAAGTATCTCACTAAGAATTCTTATTTTGATTACTTGTTTAAATGATACTTTTTAATATATTGGGTTAAATATATTAAAATTAATTTTACCTGTTTCTTTTACCTTTTTCAGTGTGGCTACTAGAAATTTTTTAATTACTTATGTGGTTGACATTATGTTTCAGATACAAATCTAGTGCCCTGGGTCCCAGGCATCTCACTGCACCCTCTCCTGCTCCAGGTCTGCCCAAGCACCCAAACCAACCTAACTTTCCTGCTTCGGAATAAGCATAGATTTCAGTGTTCTTAGTTGGAGAATAATTTTATAAGTGAACCATGCTGTTATGATGCTAATGGTTAACAATACTTAGTTTTGGCTCTCCACATATACTTAGGAAACACCTACCATGTGTATAGCTTGTACTTAAGCCAAGTGGGCATACTTGGAAGCATGAGAGCTCTGCCATCCAGCAGCTAACAACTGACTTGGGTATCACCTTTCGATCAGAATAATCTGAAATGTTGACATATCTTTCCCTAAAGACATGAGTCACACAGGAATTCTAGGCACAATGGCAGAAAAATGGAAAGTATTTGTATCATGATTATAGAGGAAGTTTCATGGAGCCTTTCAGTTCCTACCACCTATGTCCATGTACTTCTGGCCCACCACATTATCAAGCATTAGAAGATTTTTTTTTCTTCTCTGACAAGAAATACAGCATATGTGTTTCTCTGGTGTAGGTAGCATTGCGAAGAAAGGTAAATGACTTGAGCCAAGTTAGAAAATTTAAAACAAAATGTCAAAATACATTCTACTTATTTTTTCTTCTGTTTAAAGAGGAAGGAGTCTGGGGGCTCTGCCCTGACTGGTCCGTCCTGTAACCTCTTCTCCATTTCTGCCCACAGGAAAAACAGAGCAAAACCAATCAAACAGGAGCCTCACTCAGAGAGGAGATACATCCTGAGGAAATGGCTCTTCCTTCTATTTCCTCCTTTCATTGAGGAAGCCAGTCATGATGGTCGAAGAAGCCAAGGATAATTTCGTTTATAAATTGTATACTTTGGCCACATGGTTTCTAGCACAAATTAGGGATGGGATTTAGCTTCATTTCTCTTTCTTTTGAATTTTATTATTTTAAAAGAAGAATGTTTTCCCTGAAGCATTTTGTATTTGTGGCCCAGACATTTTCTGCTCACTGCTATGGACGGGGTTGCCGTTTGGATATAAATGTCCCTGATAGATCACAATTCGGGACTTAAAATGTCCATGTTTATCCCAAAATGTTTATTTCCTTTATCCTTCTACAGACACTGTAGTCAATTTCTTTTCCTACCCTTTTTATCTCAAAGAAAACAAGTTTTATCATTTGAAAGTATCTTGTGCCATAAAACCAGATCAATATTAAAAAAAGGGTATGATCATATAATCAGTCTCAGACAAGAGATGCAGGATTTAGAGTGGAGGAAAATTAGATCTTCACAACCACCATTACAATTGCAAAGAACAAAGAAAGCAGAGTCCAGGCTTCAGTGTGGAAATCTTACCTATTGGGGTCTGCGCCCTGGGACTGGGCTCCCTCCATCCACAGGTAGAAAGGACTCTACTCCGTCTACCTTTAGCCACTCTAGTTGAGTCCCAGGTTCTGAGTAGAATAAATCGTTGATTTATTTTTCATGTCATGACAGACAACCTCAGCCCTGAGCCACACCGCCCCCTCCACTTTCTCACGTCTCCTTGTTTTCATGGTCACACTCTTCTCTCTGCCTGATGCGCTTCTCCTCACACCACCACCAGCCTTCCCCCTTTCTCTCCACATCTATGCCTGCCAACCCACAAACCCTCATCTCCCTACTCAAGCAGCAGCCCCTCTGAGGAGACTTCCTTCAACCTTCCAACCACCCACACCCTGGCAGACGGAAGTGCTCCATTGTGCTCCCTCCTATTGTCCTTTGTACAGACCCCACTGTAGCACTGCTCACTGGCTTGATTATTATTTGCCTGTAGGTCTGCCACCTCCCTGGATGGAAAACCCTTGAGGTAAGAAATTGGATCTTGTTTAACATGGTATCAATAGGGCCTAGCACAGCACCTGGAACTAGCAATACTCAGCCAATATTTTTTGAGTGAACAAATTCTCTTCCGGGCTCAGGACAATGATGGGTCCCAAGGATGATTAGACAAAATCCCTTCCTTATGGAGTCCAGAATATCGAGAAGGTATGCACACCTAGCTTCATGATGGAGTGGGTGATGGTTAAGGTCTAGACTGGGAGGGGGAACACTGCAGGATTTCAGAGCAGAGAACCCACCTGGAATAACAGCCAGAGCACAGTGTGAATGTCCATTCATTCATTCAATACATAGTTATTGTGGGCTGATGATGACTTAAGCTGCAGATACATCAGAGAATAAAACAGACAAAACTTGGTGCACCCAGGTGGCTCAGCTGGTTAAGCATCTGACTCTTGATCTCAGCTCAGGTCTTGATCTCAGGGTTGTGAGTTCAAGGCCTGTGTTGGGCTCCACACTGGGCGTGGAGCCTACTTAAAAAAAAAAAACCTGACAAAATTCTTTGCCCTCATGAAACTTTTATTGGAAGGAGACAGGCCAACAACTTCAAACAACCCCCAAGAAGGCACATGTTAGCCCCATAAAGGGGCTAACAAAAAGTGAATTTTGTTAATTCACTTCTTTATGCTTCTTGTACAATAGTATGAATCAGCTGGTACATTCAGCAAGCAACAACAACAAAAAAGGAAGACCTGTTTGCAAATGCCTCTATGAGGCAGACATTTGCAATTATCCTTGCATCATTCACATTCCCAAACAGCTACCTCCCACTCCCCCTCTCCTTTGCTTCTCCAGTGAGTTGCCCAGGTGACCAGCCTGCCCAAGGTCAGTCCATAGGCAGTCATGGGGTTTGGGCTGCACAGTGGTGACTGGTCTTCATTTTCAGTGTCCAGGCTCTGTGGTGTTAATGAATCAGGTGAGAAGTTGGATGTCGTGTGACACCTGTGGCAGGCCTCTGGCTTCTCACTTCTTTCGACATATTTTTGAGCATCCTAGTGATCACTGCTGAGCACACCAAGGGAGATAAATAAATAAGCCACTTACTCATTCAACAAATATTTAATGAGCACCTACTAGAGTGCAGGCAATAAGTTTGCCACTGGAGATCCAATGGTGAGCAAAACAGATGAGCTTGTAGTGTAGGACGCGGGACAGATTACACAAGAAAACCATCAATGGTAGATTCATCACACAAATGAGCTCCTTGGCCCTTGGGGAGCTCCAACAAAAAAAACTAGAATAAGAGGGGTCTCCCTTCAATTTCCTCCTCTCCTTGAAAGTACACACCCCTCTTCATCTCTTTATAGCCTCTTCTCCCTTCACAGAAGACCTGCTGCATTCCCCTGCCCCGCCAAAAGTTTGGTCCTTTGTGTCTCAGTCTCGGCCTCTTCTTTCTCTCTGAGGAGCGGGGACCTTCCTGTAGCCTGCTTCTCCAATCCATAAGCCTTCCTCCCACTCAGCTGAGTTTCCCACAGTGTCCTTGGTAGCTGTGCTTCTCTGATTTTGATGCATAATAGAATTACCTGGGGGAGTTTTGATGGCCCTCATGGCTAGGACATTCCACAGACCAATTAAATCACACTCCCTGGGCCTGAGACACAGCAAATTCCAATGTAAAGCCAAGTTTGAGAACCCATGATTAATACATCTGTCTCTGTTTCCTTACCTTCCATTCCTTCCCCTACCACAGCACAAACCCATCTCTACCCCCACTGTTCCCCTGGGTATGAGTTCCTTTCTGTAAACATCCCTGGATTTTTCTCAGTGTCCATCTTACTTGACACTTAATTTGACACTCTTGCCCCTTCTCTTTTCTTGAAACAATCTTCCCTTTGCTTCCATTGTCCCATCTTCTATTTCTCTGGTTGATGGCTTTTTGCCTCCTTTGTCCCACTTTTTCTTACCTTTTGCTCTGTTTTGCTTCTGAAGTGTGGGTGTTTCCAGAGAAACATCTCCTCTCAGTCTGCACATTGTACACCCACTCACAAGGTTTCAACGGCATCTTTCTGCTAAGGACCCTCAGATCTGTCCAGGCGAGACCTCTCCTCTGAGCACTCGGCTTTAGTCCTACGTATACAACTGCCCACTAGAAATCCCCATCTCTTTGTCCATCAGAATTCTCAAATGTATATGTTCAAGTTGAATATATTATCACCCCCAACCGATCACACACATACCGGCTATTTCCCCCAGCCTCAGAACCACTTTATTAATTTCCTGTCTCAGTGGCAAAAACTTTTACCTGTGTAGACACTGACCAGAAACTCAAGAATTGGCCTTTCCACCTCCCTATGTCTTCTCACATTCAATCAGGCTTCAAGTCCTGTGGAGCCTGCCTTCCTATCATCTCCCAAACCTACCCCCACTCTCCGTCCCCTTCACCACCACTCTTTCCATTTCTCATCAAGAATATCCTACGTGCTCTCTGTTTCATCCCAACCCCCCTCATCTGTGCCCCCAATGGCCACCAGAGTCATCTCTATAAAATGCAAATCTAAGAGATCTCTTCAGTGCCCCGGGGTTATTTCAGGATACATTCAAGATTTTTCTCATGGCGCACAAAGTCCTACCTTTCTCTCCAGCCCCACCTCTTGCCAGAGCCATACTGAAATACTTGTGGTTCCCCAGATGTGCTACTGTCTGTCTGGCTCAGTACCTTCTGTACCTCCCTCACCTACTTCTTTGTCTGGTTAAGTCTCATACACTCTTCAAGACTCAGCTCAGAACTTCCTTCAGGAAGACTCATATCAATTTAGATGTTTTCAGCTTCACCTAACAAAATATCAAACTAGAAATTTAATACAGTATGATACAGAGCTTTATTATCCCCCTAGCAAGAAGTGTACAGGAGGCAGTTCCAGAGCTAGTTAATTTAGCAGCCTGATGATGTCTGAGCTGTAGGCTACCTTCTCTTTGTCTCGGCTTTCCCCATACAGTCTCAAACTGCATGCCTTGACTCCAAACATCAGACCAACAGAATACCACATCCAAAGGCAGAAAGAAATGACAGCCTCCCCCCCGCAACATCTTTTTTTATCAGAGATGAAAATCTTTCCCAGCAGACTTTCCCACTGGTCCCATTAGGCATGTCTAGGTTACTAGCTTACTCTAGAGCAATCCTTGGCAAAGGAAGAAGGATCCCTATGGTTTACATGTGAACTAGGGGGAAAATCCCTCTTCTTTGAATACGTTCTGCCTCATATAGGGCAAAAGGTTCTATTGGCAAGGATGAATGGGGGAAATGGTGGATGGATAGGCTATCAACGGTTTTAGCCATGGTTTCTCTTCTAGCATCCCTTGCTCACCACTCCCTCACCTGTGAATGAGGTGCCTTTCAAGTACTCTGTCATTGTGCTTTTCAAACTATCTTGTACTGTTGGTTTATTTATCTGTCTCCTTACTGTGGCCTCCATACAGTTTATTCATCTTTGATTCTTCAGTACCTAGCAAAGGCCTAGTGCATAGTCTCAATAAAAACTATTGTTTGAATGATTGAGTGATTGAATTAGTGAAATGTTCAGGACACTTTCCACATAGTCTAGAACTGTGGTTGCATTAATGCTAATAATTTGACCCATCTATATAGTGATAGTTACCCATCTAAAGAGACTGATATATGACTACACAGTTTGTGCTATTTGCTCTATGCAATTTCTATCTTTTCATTGCTTTTGTGACTTAGTCCTATGGTTGGTTATCCTCTGTAGCAGCAACCAAATGACCACTTTCTTCATTAAACAGAGTCAATGTCTCTTGTTTCCCAAAGGACCATGCTGATGTTGAGCCATTTTTTTTTTCCTGTTGCTCCATTAATGTCTGCCAAGACAGCATAAATCAACACCATCTATCAGTGTCCCATCTTTGGAGTGGAACTTCAAAGGCAGGGTTTCCTTTTCTGGGTCAAGTTGACCTGTAACTTCCATCTTCTTCATACTAACCCTCAGTCTGTAAAACTGCATCATCTCTGCAAAGTGGTCAACAGCTTCTCAGCCAGTGCCTTAGCAAATATTTACTGAGGGAATTATTGAATGAATCATTTAACTGACTTTTTTGTAATCTTCAAAAACAGTCATAGCAGACAAGAGCTCTTATTTAAAAGGTATCTGCCTCAGCTCAAACATATTTAAAAATAACCAAATTAGCAGCTTTTATCAATGTTGACATTCTGTTCTCAAACTAATTACCTGCTTATATAACTGACCTTATTAAGGGCTGTTGACACCTCCTTAAGTTATCTTTGGAAATTGAAATTAAACCCAAATACAATTATGATCTTGCCAGGTTCAAAAACCGTCATTTTGACATGGCCAGAATTCCCTTTTGAATTTAAAAATCTAATTCAAACCCTTAAGTTGGA